AATATGAAATGGCCCGCTCAGCTACTGGTTTTGGATGGTTGCATGCGGTGGGGAGGCACTCACTAGGAACTTGATTCATGCACCCGAGGCCCGAAGCCCTAGATCCACTGCAAACCCGATACGAGAGTTTCTCAACATCAGCCTGCTGCGATCCCGTTGAGGGCACCCAAATGGTGACCTAGTAATCCCTCTACGTCTCTGCATGAGGGCGGCTAGGGTATTCGGTGCCCACCCCATTTGAAGGCACCGTCTATTTCTCATCGTAAATACTCAAGCATTCTCGCGTAGAAGTTGCTCCCGGATTACGCCTGTACCAGGTTAATGCCTTTGTAGCCCCACATACATATTCCTAGGTCCTAGGGCCCTAGTGGCCCTCTATATTCAGGAGATCCTGACGTTTGATATAAGCTTTTGGTACCCCGCCATGTAACCTCAACTCCTATCAGAGTCATGTGAGAGTCATCGGGTAACCAGAATATCCTAATCCCTAGAAGTCCGTCGTCCTTAAATCCCTGAATCCTAATCTTAAAGCCGTAAACACTGTAATCCATAAACCCTAATCCTCACCACAATCCTAACCCTGCAACCATACCAATATGACGGGGTTTTGGTTACTCCGACCTCCATAACAAGGACCCTCTAACTATCATATGACAATTAGAAGGTCCTGCTTTTAGGGGTTAAGTGAAGTGGGTAACTAAAAACCCCAAACCCTAAACGCCAATCCTGCACACCTTTGGGTGCCCCCGCAGGCAGTTGTGAAGAAGATGCCTCGAAGGCGGTGGTCTGCGCCTCAGTTTAGTCCCTTGTGTAGACGCCTTTGAAGGCAAACCTTTTGGGATACATAGTGACATAGTGCTTTGTTAGAGGGGTTATTGCCCAGACCCCTGGGGATCTAGGAAGTAGAGCCCTTTTAAGGGTTTCTAGAAACTACCCAAGAAGAGTATAGGGTACCATGTTTTGCTAGATGCTCCCAGTAGGGGTCTGGGTATAGGTGTGCAGATAGGATGAACGGCTTAGGGCCATAGATTTTCTCCTGGCCAGTAGCACGCTTGGATGTGCGGTGGGGTTTTCGTGGGATTATTGAACTGCATGTCATGTGGGTATATGCATGCAAAACACCAGGAAGTGGAATGGCCCTTGCATCCTATGCTCATTACACCAGCCAAGTTGCCGTAAACCCTATCCTAAAATCAACTTGGATGCTCATCAGAAACCTCAGAAGAAAAACCTCCTGTTAGAAAAGGGCCACGGTCTTTACACGGCCATTTGAGCTTCCGTGTTACTTGCTGGGGGTTAGTAGGGATTAAGGGAGAACATATTATTTGACTATACGGGGATTGCATTACTAAACCCTAAACCCTGAACCCTTCTTCCCTACTAAGCACCAGCAGGTTAATGTAGACCCCCCTCCTTCTAAGGACCGTAATATTAGGATCCCCATTATAATCCCCATTAAGGGGAGGGATGTACTAATTAGTTTTCTACATTAGTTGATTAGTTAAGGGGGAGGGCGGGCAGGCGGTGGAGTGAAGGGAAGGAGAGACGAACCCTGACAATTCATACAGGCCCAGAACGCCCCAAAGTAGATCGAATAGGTTAAGGGCCCCCCCACAACCTCTAAACCTTAAACCCACCTTTAAGGGGTTCTGTTTGGCCTCAGCTCTCTGTAGGGTTGTGAATGGGTTTAGGGACTGTGAGCTCCTTCTGGCTCTCACACAGAATTTAAAAAGTGATATAGCCCCCTTCAGTAGGTTGAATATGGAATTGCCCAATGTCATAATAAGATCTCCCTTTACCCCCACATGCTATCCTAAACCTTAAACCCCGAATCCTAAACCCTAAACGCTAACCGCTGTGATTGGCAGCGCATCGCTTGCACGCCGCAACAATGTATTCCAGCAACTCGAAGAACTCTGGGATCTTGGGTTTGAGCTAGAGTCTAAAGTTTGGGGTTGAGGTTTATTCTTTTGGATGGTTTAGGGTTTAGGGTCACGTTAGACACCCTGAATTCAGTAAACGCTAAGGGTCCATGTGCCCAATGATCGGGTACTTGGATTTGCGGTACCGGTATCTGTTATTCTAGTGCAGGCGCTAGGGAAAATATGATTATTGGTTGGGTATTTTCTTGACTATTCGCCCTATGGAACAAAATAGCCAACACATATGTCACAGCCCCAGTGTGACGAAGTTGGTTCGTGAAGACTTCATCAGACCAACCCCAACCCTCGGCATCATTAGCTTATTGATATGCCTGACCTTAACCCCATATATCCGTATATGAGCTACTGTCAACATTAGCCTTACTAAGGGACCCTTAGCCGTGGACATAAGGAGTCCCCCATGTAGTGAAGTATAGTCCCCAATATAGTCCCTAATAAGGAACCCATGTCCACGTACTTATATAGGAAATATTGACTGTAGCTCATATAAACCTTGTACGGCCCATTATGGCCTTGAGAAGCCACTGTCTGGCCATAGAGCCACTGAGGATGAGTGTCCAGGACCTTGTCACTGAGGCGCCAGTGCTGAGACTCACACCCAGATTTTTTGAAAACCTGGGGGTGTCTCGAAACTCATCCTTTCAAAGGACCCCATATCATGCCATTCTAATCCCTACGTATCCCTAGGGTCCCTTAGAGTATACAGCACCATTTTGACTAGAACCCGCTCCAGAACATGAACCCGCTATGAGCTTTGAGAAACGCCAGGGTTTCGTTGTACTCTCCGCTTCTGAATTCTTCAGGTGTACTACCCTACAATGCCTTCGTAGTCTTTATGCTATCCCTGGGCTTGGCTTCTGGGGGGGCTGTCATTTCGTGAGAAACCTCCATATTACCCGTCTTCCTCTGAGCCCGAAACCTAAACCCTAAACGGTAAACGATCTTTCCCCCCCTGACTGGGCCCCTAACCCTCTGCACTCGCCCCCCTTCGTAAGCCTTCACAAGCCCCAGTGATACCCAAGACTGCTGAATTTTAAGGCCATAAGTAATTTGTAGGGGCCCATGTACCTGGGGGCGGGGCATGGAAGCCCCATGAGTAAGGGGCCTGAGGATGCCTGAGGTTCGGGGCTGATGAGGCCGTGTTTTTCAGGAAGATGTGAAGCGCAACGCTTACAAGGGCCTTTGCCGCGGAGTTTGGAAACAGTATACCCTAAACCCTGAACCCTAAACCCTAAACCCCTACCCCCCTAAACCCCTAAACCCATTCGAGCTTCAAAGATCTTTCCAGTCGAAAGCACTCCAAGCTTCGAAACAAGTCCATGAGGCTTCAGCATAGGACATTGAAACCCAAACCCTTAAGGTCAGCCCCCTAAACCCTCAACCCCAAACATCCCTAAACTCAAAACCCGAAACCCCTCAACACCCCCTTACCCTAAACCCTTAATATCCCCTCCCTACATCCCAGTAGCCGTACCAGCGGCCCTACATCCCCAACCCTAAAAACTAAACCCTTAACAGCAACCCAAAGTTCACTGTCAGGTGGAACAGGCGCTTGTGCAGGGCGAGCGGCTGGATAAGGACGTCTGCAGTTTTAGTATCGAACACCTGTCAGGGTTCAGAATTTAGGGGTTTACGCTGAAAAGGGTTTAGCGTATCAGGGTCCAGGATCTGGGGTTTAGGGTTTAGGGTATTGGGGTTTAGGGTATAGGTTTTATGATCTAGGGGCTCAGGGTTTAGGGTTTAGGGTCTGGGGTCTTTTGCTTACTTTTAACATTAACAGACTTGTTTGAAGCTGTTGAGGGCTGAAGCTTTATCGATTTGGGGTCTGTGCACTTCCGGGTCATTTTCGGATTGTTGTGGTGTTGGTATTTGCTACATGGGAACGGCGGAAGACTACTGCAACTATCTTGGGTGTCCTGTCTGCTTCGACATTGACGACAAGTTACATGTGACCAAAAAGACGACAGGGTTTTGGAGTCGTTGGACGGAAGACAGCTGATACATGTACACAGTCTTTACGGGGCCCTTCCCTGCTGAACAGCCATGCCGCCGGGTTATTCTGGGTTGCTGTTAAGGAACTTAAGTTAAGTTATTATATTGGGAAACCCTATTATTTACTATATATACCCATTATGGTAACTTTTTTGAAGTCCCTTAACAGCAACCCAGTATTACGAGCATGAACTTGAAGAATCCATTAGAGTACGCCCTTCACAAGTTCAGCACTGCCCAGCTCATGTGTCTTATCATTAGGGACTATGAAGGTAGGAAACTTGCGAGGGGTGTAACTTATGTTCACATGAGCTGTAGTCTAAACTCCTTAAAGGGGGTTATATAGGGGATTATATACGGGCACTACTATAGGGCTTAGTGTAGGGCTTATTAAGGGGGATACTAGGAGCTTAGACAATGGCTCACATTTTTATAGTGCCCCCTATGGATTACCATCTGCATGGTTTTTGCTCGGGATTCAAAGGCAGGCTGTCGACGTTGTGCAGGAGTATCAGTGGTTCACGCTTTGCAAGTTGTTTAAATCGTTGGTGCGTGTATATCGGTCACGATGATGAGGATTCCTGCATGCTGTAGGTCATGCCCCCTTACGGTAAACGGTTGCCACAATAGGTACTAGGAGTGGTAACCGCCCCTTGGTAAACACCACTTGAAGGCAGCTACTGTAAGGGGTAGTGACCCAAGCTAAACCTTAAACCCCAATTCCTAAACCCCAAACTCCTAAACCGTAAGCTCCTAAACCCCGGAACCTTAAATTCTCCTAAACCCTAAACCCATGATCCCAGTATCTCCCCCCTCACGGCTTCCGTGTGGAGCTTGAGACATGTTTACAGGGTTGTACCTCTTTAAGTAGATTGGAGTTTAGGGTTTAGGGTTTCTCTTGTTTAGGACAGAATTTAGGGAAATTCCATAGGACTATATGTGGGCTTGTGGCAGTAATTATCGGGTTCCCTAAAACTCCTGGAGTTGCAGCTGACATCTGTCGTTTCTCCTGCCTGTTGCATAGTTAATTCCTATGTTTGTGAGTGGCCAGCACAGCATCCACAGGATGCGCCGGCTTATGAAAACCTTCGACGCGAGGCTTTCGACATGAAGGGCTTGGTGAGGAAACTTCAAACCCAACCCAGGAATGTATCAGGGTTTAGGGTTGGGGTTTAGTGATCTTTTGCTTATCAGGGGATAGTAGGGAATTATTATGTGGGAATGGTATAGGGATTAATTTTCCCCTATTCCCTACTAGGCACCAGTAAGTTTGTCAATAGCATCTCCTAGTACGAAAGATCTAGGGGGAGGAATAACAAAGACTATAGTGGACAAATGGTGGGACCTCCGAGAAGTCTAGCTCAGAAGACCTGCCTAAAAGTGCTCCACAACTGTATGGCCTCGAAGTCATCAAGCCATTTTCAGCAAGTGACATTTTTTGGGAAGTCAGGGGGCTTAGATGGGAGGCGTGGGTGCAGACTTAGGGTTCATGGCTTATCGGCTCAGACCTTAGTCTAGGATGCAGGCTTCCAGCATTCATGGTAGCTAGGGCATCTGTAGATTTTGGATGGTTTAAGGTTTAGGGTTCAGAGTTTAGGGTTTAGAATTTAGGGTTTGGGGTTTTAGGGTTTAAGGAAGTTTGAGGCTCCTGTGACAAGAGCCGGAATAGTGATTTATGAGGGCTGTCTTTGGATGGTTGCAAGGCCCACAAAACACCTATCAGAAACACCTGCGTAAGCCCTAAAGACTTTTTACAGAGCCTGTTCGCATAATCCCTACCTGGTCCTCACATCATGCATACGGGTCCCTAAGCATCTATGCAGTTGATATCTTTTCAGTGAATGAGAGGTCCAACGCAACTACACTCCAAGACACCCCAAAGACTACGGCCTATCACCCCGAATCCGCAAACCCCAAATAAAACTTGTCAACTTCCAGCCCTAGCAGTTGGGGTTTTAGGGTTTAGGGTTTAGGGTTGAGGTTTTAGGGTTTAGGGTTTCATGCAATTAAGCCATACCTTTGGTTATTGAGCTCCGGGGGCTTCTCACTGCCTTACAAATAGTTGCAAGTAGAGTTAGACAGCTTATGCACTACACGCCTCTTCCTCAGGTGGACCCCCCCCCAGTAATGGTGACTATAAGGGATAATAGGGACTATATTAGGGTCCTCTTATATTCTTACTATACCACTATTACAGGGTGGGGGGTCCTCCTAACCTCTTCCATCATCTTTTTCTTTGCAAGGCCGTCTCCCTCAGGCTCGAAAATGACGAACTCACAGAGAAGGTCGCAGAGCTTGAGGCGGCAGGGAACTAGCCTGGGTTGCTGTTAAGGAACTTAAATTAAGTTACTGTATTGGGGAAACCCTATTATTTATTATATATACCCATTATGGTAACTTAATCTGAGTTCTTTAACAGCAACCCAGACTAGCATG